GGACTCTTATGTTCAGATTGAGCAGTGTGACCACATGAGGCAGTGTAACTGGCATGGGCAAAGTATGTGATTTGTGTTTACAGCACAGACAAGTCAGTCTGGGACAACAATTTATTAATTGCACATGTGGCCAGTACACACACAATTCTTAGTTTTTAAAAAGCATGTGGGGTTTAGAGAGACTCTTATGTTTGAGCAAAACAGGTTTTTGCTATGTGAGGTGCTGCCAATAATGTCAAGTAGCCAAAATCTTTTAATTTCTCTTGGTTCTCTATTGTAACTCATTGCACTGTAAACCTCATAACTACTGTTTCTCCATCACATGCTCTCCAAGTTGCTCAGCATGTTCCTCTTAATAATTTCAATACCTAAGCATTTAGTTGCAAAACATGAGCACCATCTATTGGCCAAACAAATAATGTGCAGCTCTAAAGAGAGAACTGTTGAACATCCTGGTGTTTCACAGTTTGAGAGAGAGCGAGCTTCTGCATGTTTAATGTTTGTCCCTGGTATAACTTCATAACTGTGGTTAAGTAGCTATAAATGTGGCTTGTCAAGCCTGTTTTTCTGAGTCATCTCCAACTTTCCATTCCCAAAAGGCCCAGGTTTCATTGTTTTTTGATTCTATAGAATTCACGCCAGTCATGCCAAGATATCTATGCCAGCAGTGTATTTTGTGAAGTTATGTGTGGATGTAGAGTACATCAGATTACTTAAATATATATTATCCACCAATGATTTATCCCATAAATACATATAGTGCACATTCTTCCTTGAAACATCAGGTGAATGTTTCTCCAAACACCAACCAAGTATGGCTCATAGGAGCACATTGTCTTTCCTTGATGTCTTCCCTTCAGTGAACCCTATATTCATTTTTTATGATCCACATATAAATCTGTTCTCAGCAAGGGAAGAAAGGTTCAAGGAAGACAAGTAAAAACTGAAGGATATGCCATTTTATAAAAGGAGGAATTCCTACATATTTGATCACAGACGTTTCATAGTGAAGTTTAGTCTCATGTTTGAAGCAGAAGTCACTAAATTGTTAAAGGAACAGTTCTACATTTTGTTGTTAAAGGAAAAGTTATACATTTTAGGAAATATGCCGCCTTTCTTTCTTGCTGGGAATTAGATGAGAAGGTCAGTGCCACTCTCAGTCCCTGCCCAGGCCTATGAGGCCTGTAGCAGATGGTTAGCTTTTAGCACTTCTGTCAGTCACTGCTTTCAACCAAGAAGTACCCTAAGCCAGCAGATATCCACTGTAAAACCAAAAGTTATATTTCATTTCAGTTTTTGTATGGTTTAAGTAAACAAGATGTGTTAAATAGTGAGCTTTAGAGGCTCTGCTAGATAGATTTTGTTATTTAGGGTAGAGCTAGGCTAGCTGTTTCCCCATGCTTCCAGTCTTTATGGTAAGGTGAGATAAGGTGACAGGAATGAGACGGGTACTGACCTTCTTATTTTACTCAGCAAGAAAGTGAATAACTGTTATTTCCCTAAGGACAAACTGTAGTCCAGTGGAACTTTTTGACAAGAGATCCAATTTAGGGTTCATCCTGGTGTTTAGCTGATGAAATTACCTTGTGGTCTAAAGACCTGCAGACTATTGTCCCTCTGTGGCACATAGTCTACAACCACTGGATAAGAACTGTTGTCCATGCCTTGGAATGAGAATATTTAATTTCATGAATATTGAACTGTTATTCTGGTATTTTTCTAAAGGTAGCAATGCAATATGTAGACAGAAACATCGTTCATAGCATTTCATTTTACAGCGTTTATCTTCACAATGCTGGCTATTATAAAGTACCCTTTTCTACCTGTCATGAACTGACATGTCCTCCAACACCTGGACATGTTTTGAATGAGGTTACCAGTGCATACCACACAGCTTCTACAGGGTCTGGTCTCACTCTATCTGTTGATCACAGTTTACTGAGTTGTGATAAATTAATGACACAGAAATGATAGTTCTGGCTTTGTTGGAGAAACTCATTGATACAACACACTTTCTGAGATTGTGCCTCTCTTTTCTGTTTGTTTAGCAGGCAGAGGCATTGATATGCACACAGATAACCAGTGGGGCCTGCATGTACTTACGGCTACCTACTTATACACCTAGTTTCACAATGACTAAAATTTATAAAAACAGAATTATTCATACACTCAAATTTATAAGTTTGATAGAAGCTGTATGTACACATATTTCAGTCTTTGTGTGTACACAGAGTTTTAATTTATTTGCAAACTTACACAATGTTTTTCTGAACTACAATCTAAGGCTAATCTAAGGCTAGTTCAGATTTTCACCATTGGAAATTTATTTACTCACACAACCATCTTGACATCGAAAAAGTAGATAAGTAGCCCTAAATATATATGGATATAATGTATTTGTTTCCTTTTTTTATCTGTGAGGTTAAATACAGTGCCTCTTTAACTGAATGTTCTACATGGTCTGTTGACTGGTCAGGGAAGGCTTGAAATGTGACGACCTCCTATTTTATAAAGCATGACATCCGCTAATCACAAACTACGATTGCACTCAGTGACAGAAAAAAATCATTTAATTCTACAAGAAGACAACATGTTCAGCCTAGTGGCCTTCATCACTGTTGCAGTTCCACAGTGTAGCTGTCTCTCTAAACATTAAATTCTCAAGTTAATTAGCCTGCACCTGGTTGAGTGACCGTGAGTGAGACAACCTTAGTTCTTAGAACACAATTTAAAAGGAAGGGTGAGAGAATATCATCAAAAGTAAAATAACCAACTTTCTCATTTAATTGCATCAAAAAGACATCAATGCTACACATCCACAGAACACAATCAGCATATCCAGAGGTCATCATAAAAAACTAGGAGACAAAAAAAAACCCATACTAGATCCCCGTTACCATAACAGATGTTTTTCAATCTGGACATTGCACCACAAACAATGGGAGTGTAGCTGTTCATAAAGAGGTGAATATCTGAGCCCAGCAACGAGAACATTATTTATTTGCAGAAAAATAAATATTCTTCATTTAAAACATTAGGATGTAAAGTTTTAAGGATGTATATCCAGAAACATTCCCTTTTTAATAAAGATTTCTCAGTATCTACATTTCTTCCTTTTGACTTTTACATGGACAAAACAAAAGGTATACCACATTGTCCATGTTACATGTTATCAGTGACTTTATATGATATTGTTTTTAATTTCAGAGTTTCTCTGTCTAAATACAAATGCTTATCACTTGATGGTCCTTTAAGTTTGCAGCTGTTTTATCAATGAATAATGATGGGTGTTCAAAGATTTTGTTCAGAGTAACATCATTGCTAAGAGAATATAAATGTTTATGAAATATGGATTTTATAATTCGAGCAAATTTATGTTGAGATATGTTTAATAGACCTTTCACTTTTCACTTTCGCTCTTTCTTTTGGAGACACTGTCAACAGCTGATTTAAGACATGTTTCTGGATAGCCCTTATTTCTAAAGCATTGTTCTACGTTCGCACTCTGTAGTGTGAATTTTTCTGAACTACACATTCTTCTAAGTCTATAAAGTTGGCTTGTTGGCCAACTTGTTTTGAGAGAAATAGGATAACTCTCAAAATTCAAAAGATTGTGTTTTATCAGTTCCCTGTTTTATCAGTTGCTGTTCATAATATTCCCATCTATATTTTTGTCCTCCCCAGCCACATACATGAGAGGGTCAGAATATTAGGAGCACCTCTAAATATAATGTAGTCCAGTACAACACCACCTTCAGCTATGACCTCAACATTAAACATATCATTGAATTTATATATTTATGACAGTTTAACTTAACTATGGTTAAAGGTGATGTTGTAAGGGACTACATTATATTCATAGGTGTTCATAAACATCTTAAGGGGGAAGTGTTGCATTGAAGTGCATACAGTTGTACAGGTGTGCCTAATAAAGTGTAGATTCTTGACTAGGGGCTGAATATGAAAATCAATAAACTTAGATTTATTTTTTGCTAATAAATTCACCCCTGATAGAATAGTGTGTAATGGCGGATCCACAGTAGATTTACACAGCTAAAAAAATTAAGGGAACACTAAATCACACATTTCATCTTGATGAATGAATTATTCAGGTTCATAGCCTTTACTAAGGTACGTTGTATAATTTGTTCAGAACAAAATTACATAACAGTGGTCAGTGGAAACCAAAATCATCAACCCACGGAGGGCTGTATTCAAAATCTCACCGAAAATCAAAGTGAAAAATTGAAATCACGGGTTCATCCAAGTTGCGTGAATTTCATCACGATACTTCATCACAGTATTTTTCCATCAATCTGCCCATCCACCCATTATCTACACTGCTTATAGAGGGTCATGGGGGGGTGGGGAGTTTAGAGGATTGGAGCCAGTCCCTGCTGATTTTGGGCAGGAGGTGGGGTACACCTTGGATAGGTTATATGTAGTGCCATGAATTAATTACATTGTCATCAAGTTTATGCCTTCTGCACCATGTAATTATTTACAGTCACAATTTGTAGTATGTTAACCCTCCTGTTATGTTGCAGGTCAAATTGACCCACGAACATAACTGCTTTAAATGAGACAAATATTTGATATGACGAAATGAACATAACAGGAGGGAACCCTCCTGTTATGTTCATTTCTCAGGTGATGCCTGCTCAGCAGTTATGTTCGTGGGTCAATTTGACCCGCAACATAACAGGAGGGTTAAGTAGTTTCCGACTGTTTGTGTAAATGTGTGTAAAGAAAACCTGCTGGTCTGGCTTGTCAGACACTGGCTGTCAGCCTACAATTTAACATTTCCCAAGCTTAAGCCCAGAAAGGCAAAGCAAAGGCAGGAATAAGCATTCATCATTTTTATATAGTGGTTTAGATGGACAGATATTCACAAAATGCCCCACTATTCTTTTTCCTAACAGCTAAGCAGAACAGTAAAGAGACGAAGGCTGGCAGTGAGGCTGTAACTCCTGAAACACAGTCTCCAGAAGACACATCTAGAGATGATGCTCCCTCTTCTGAACCTGTCACTGAAACAGCCCCACCACAAACAGACTCTACAAAAAAAGCAAAGGAGCCAGAAAACAGTGGTGTGTCTAAGCAACAATCCGCAGAGTCAGATCCCGCAATAACACCCACCCCAGCAAAATCTAGTCTGTCTCCAGCTGCACAGTCCCCATCCAACTCAGCCCCTAGACATCATGAAACTGGGGCCCTTATGGTTGCTAAGACCACATATGTCATACCAAAGAAGCAGTCTGGATCTCAGTCCCCTTCCAGCAGCCACTTGTCAGCCTCTGTGTCATGCCAGAAGCCTTCTTCAGCCCCTACGCTGCTGAATGAAACCCGAAATCTCCTGGTGCCTCCGGCACCCAGTGCTCCCTCATCTAGACCCTCACAGCCTAATAATCAGGTCAGACAGAGTATCCAGCGCACCCTCATCAGCATCCTGTCCAAAAGGTGAGAACAAGCCTCAGTCTTTGGTAAACCAAAGGCTTGTCAGATGTATACTGTACAAAAATTGCACATTGAAAATGAGTCCTTTGAACCATTTTAGTGATGATAATAGGAGCCAAAAGAGTAAATGCCAATATGTTTAATAATTTATGATGGTATGGCATACTTTTATTAAATCTGTTAATTGTTTAAAAAAAGCACATTTTTCATCACATGCCAGACTCAGGGACATAATTTGTGACTTGTCTTTTTACAGTAAGTTGTGTGCAAATAACATGCCACAGTGGTGATACACTACAAATTTGCTATCTGCCTTTCTGTTTTGTCAAGGGTGTGTGACTGTGAGGATTTGGAGATGTCTGAGAGTGAAGCTGCAAAGCTTGTTGCGAGCATCGAGATGGAGATGTTTGACGTATTTCGCAATACAGACAGCAAATACATGAACAAGTACAGAACTATAATGTTCAACCTAAAAGACCCAAGAAACAAGGTCGGATCTCTGTTTAAACCCTAATTTTAAATACTGTTCTTATTATTGCATAAATTTCTTTAGTGAGGTTTTATCAGCAGCTCATAGTTATTTAGCAAACTGACAGCTGAGTTATGGTTTCTCTCCAGGGTTTGTTGTATCGGGTTGTACGTGGGGAGATCAGTCCCTTCAGACTGGTCAGGATGAGCCAGAAGGATATGCAGGCTATCAAGGCACCAGAGCCAAGTGCAAAAGAAACAGAGGTAAAGTGTATCAGGCATTAATCACAGCCAGACAAAATTTGATTTTTTTTTAATTAATAAACTTATCAGGCTTCAGAAGAATGAAGCTGTATTTGTGTCAGAAGTGCTTATGTTTTTCAATTGCTTTTGTGTATCTAGAGCAAGGATGCTGCTACTAAAGCAACAAGTTTGCTGCAGAAGCCTGAGGCAGTGAAGGTTGATTTGGCCAGTTTGAGACCTGACAGAAAACCTGACAGAAGACCTGATAGAACGGTGTGTACTCGCCTCATTTGCATTCAATGAGTGGAATTTCAGATTTTTATATATAAACACTATACTGCCAGCCTTGCTTCATATAAATGTTTCTTATGAAAGGCAAAAGATGTTAAGGGGTTAAGTCTCACTGTTTGTGTGGATGTGTCAGTATAGGTTGCTTCCCAGGAACAAAAGAAAAGTTTTCCTGCACCTGCCCTCAAGACCAGAACATACCAGCCAAGTAAGGGCAGCACTACACCAGATATTCTCACCTGTATGCTTAAGGACACAACATCAGAGCATAAAGCTCACCTCTTTGATCTGAAATGCAAGATATGCACAGGTAAATTAAAAATATTCTGTTTACAGATTCTTATCCAATGACCAGTCATTGTTACTTGTAGTTGTTCAGAGAAGATTTTTTTTCTTTCCCAAAGGCCAGATACTAGCTGGGGAAGAGGGGGAGCCAGCTAAGAAAAAACCCAGGGTCTCTGAAACAAGAGATAAGAATGAGCCCTCTTGGAGAAAGTCAGCAGGAGATGACTCCCCTCTGCAGGCACCACCTGACTCACATGACATGGATTCTTTGACATCTTCCCTGCTGGATCCTCCATCCCGCCTTCTTATTGATTCTCCAGCACGGACTATAGTAGAATCTCCTGCTTCCCCCACAATGGATTCCCCAGCCTCCCCTACTTTAGAGTCTCCTGCTTCCCCTGTCATGGAGTGTGTGGCATCACCAAATCCAGACAATCCTAAAGTTGCTACATCAAAGAGAGCATATACACCGGTTGTGATTCCAACTGTCTCCACTGTGACTATCACTAGACATGACCCTCGCACTGCTGCAAACAGGTTCTCTGCTTTGTTTAGTAGTACCTCTGGTCCCAGTAACACAACTCATAACCAGTCAGACCCTTATGCCCCTCTTAAAGAGGCAAGCTCTGCCCCGCCTTCAGCACCAGCATCCTCACTACCACCAGTGAAAACTATACCTAAATCTATCTTAATGAAGCCATCTTCCTCTGCAGATCCCAGACTCTATTGCACATCTGCTAGGTATTTAAAGAACTATTGAAGTTTAAAATATATTAAAAGTTCCATTTCTGTAGTGTACATTTGAACAAAATCAGCATAATGTGTGGCTGTTGTTGTTATTGTGCTGTTGTGGTTTGTCTTTCAGGACCATGATCTCTGAATCCCCAGCTGATGGTGAGACTGCTCAGTTCCTGGCTAAGCAAGACACTGTATGGAAAGGCTTTCTAAACATGCTCACTGTTGCCAAGTTTGTCACCAAGGGATATCTGGTTTCAGGATCTGCTGAAAACCTTAAAGCGGTATAATAAAGCACTATAATAACTTTTATCCATAGAATATTAAACAAATATGTCATTTTCACTGGACCTTTTTCCTTTTCTGTAGGATCTACCTGATACCATACAAATTGGAGGGCGCATTATGCCTGAAACAGTCTGGGACTATGTTGCAAAACTAAAGACCTCTATTACAAAGGCAAGCAATATTTCTTTAATAACCTTATATAACAACATTGAAAATATATAATTATTTTACATCTTCTCTTGCTTGTTTTGAACTTATTAGGAGTTATGTGTGATACGGTTTCACCCTGCAACAGAGGAGGAAGAGGTGGCCTACGTCTCCCTATTTTCCTATTTTAGCAGTAGAGGTCGTTTTGGTGTGGTCGCCAATAACAGCCGTTCTATCAAAGATGTATACCTTGTCCCACTCAGTGCAACGGAATCAATCCCATCCATACTGCAACCTCTTGAAGGACCAGGTGTGATAATCCTCTTACTACTTATAGTCTTACATAATACATATTTGCATTATTACACTGCTACGCTACTAAACTGCTATGCATGCGCACATTTAACTGAAATGTAATTCATCACATGTATACAAAAAAAACAATTTGTGTCATGGCCAAATTGTGCAGTTCCCTCAAAACTGCCCAGTTATGATATGTTCCTTCTAGTTTAGCTTGATCAGAAACTTCTGCATAAATGTTCATTGTTCTTGTCTTTCCACTGACCCCCATTGCTCTCCTTTATTTTTAACCTGGTCTGTGAGGTGCTGAAATTGAATAATGACGACAGGCAGTATGTGCATGTGCAGAGGAGTGAGAAGTTGGAAAAAAAACCCCACATGAATTCCCATTTGATTGTTCTGACAGCTGTTGCTTGGTCAGAGATTGGATATGAATCTGATCTAGGCCCACGTGTGCAAGTGCAGCCAGATCTGATTTGAAAAAAATCGGGTTTGGTTTGTCCAAACATCCATGAAAAGCGCTCTGAGTTACTTGGAGGGAAAAAAAATCAGATTTGAGTCACTTCAGCGTGTAGTATCCAGATTTATCTGATTTGTGAATCTGAATTAAACCTTTCTGACCAAATTTTTACATCAAGAATTTAGAAGAAGTGATGGAACAATGGTGAGCCAATTGTGAGCTTTTTTATTTGTTCTAATAATTAATTTATTTCAGTTTTCTTCATTTTGCAGGGCTTGAAAAAAACCGACCCAACCTTCTTCTGGGTCTTGCAATCATCCAGAAGGTAAAACGTCCAGGGAGTTTTCCTCAGGAAATTGAAGAGAAGAGACCTAATGTCCACATGTCCAAGGACCCTATGTGGATCCCAAAACCTCCGGTCCTTTATGGCTCTGATAAATTGGAGATTTTCCAACCCTATGATCCAGAGACCCCTGCTAGTACCACCCCTCCAGGTTCACCATCGTGTCCTGGGTCACCATCAGACTCTTCCTCTTCTGGTTCAGTTACCATACCATCTCTTTTGACTTCCATTAGAGCAACCCCTCCTGTTTCTACCTCAGCTGTTGCTACTACCACACAGTCCACTTCTAACAGCATTTCTGACAATAACACACCATTACAGACCATCTTGAGGACTTTGTTTGGCAATAAGCAAACTGACTCCACGGTCGCTTCTGACCAAAGCTCTACAACAACAACAACCATAAGTGATAAGAAGATACCTGTGTCACAGGTGTCTGGATCAATGGTGGATCCAATTGTCCAACAGTATGGACAGAAATCCAAAGTCAAAGAGATAGAAGAAGAGGAGAATGAATTTGACCGACCATATGACCCAGAGGAGGAGTATGATCCAGCAATGGGATATGGAATGATTGCTCCACAGAACACAGAAAAAATTAAGGCAGATGGCCCTGTATTATCAGGCTTTGTGGATGATGATGTGGCTTATGATCCAGAGGATGAGACTATCTTCGAAGATATTCAAAGTAATACTTTTGTTACAAAGCCCCCTGTTCCAACTCAAATGTCAGATTCTCCATCATGCTCAGCACCACTTTCCAACCAGGTTGTAACACCAAATGCCTCTTCCACTCCAATGCAGACTTCTACCCCAGCTGCAGTAATGCCGAACATTCCTACAGGCACTGTGGTTGTTTCAGCTGCAACACTGACAGAACAACAGCGCATGCTTGAGGAGCTCAATAAGCAGATTGAAGAGCAAAAACGGCAGTTGAAAGAACAGGAAGAAGCACTACGTCAACAGAAAGAGGCTGTGGGTATGTTCATGGCTCGCTTTTCTGTTTCGGATTCCCTGATGTCTCCTCCATCAAACTCTTTGGCCCTCAGTCAAATGTCATCTCTGCAGGGTGGCATAATGCAAATAGAATCAGGGTCTTCAGAATCAACTGAAAAGACCAGCATCCCTACAGCGACTTTGGACAAAGCAAATGAGGACTCTCAACCTGTAGAGTTAGAAGACACAACTACCATTTCTAATTTTAAAAATGACACAGATACAGCTACAGAGCAAGATGAAACACAGGAAAATGTTAAGGAAAGTGACAAGTATTCCTCGGCTGGGGAGATTGAAGATTCTGATGTAGCATATGATCCAGAGGATGAATCACTTTTTAATGAAATTCAAGAGGATGTTTTTCAAGGAGGCAATATAACAACTCATGAGTCATCTTTGTCTAGGCCAGGGCATAGTGTCTCCTGCAAGGGTTCTCCAAGTTCATGCCACAACCGAAAGCGAAGGCTGTCGCCAAAGAGGCGGGGTCATCATGAAAGGGGCCGCCATAGAAGTCCTTCAAGAAGGTCACAACGTCGTTCTCCTTCACATTCCCGTAGACGTAGAGAAAGGGATAGAAACAGAAAAGGTGAAAGGGACAGGTCGAGGCACAGAGGTAGAGATGAGTCTGAACGCCAGTCTCGCCATAGGAAAGAACATGCTACACGCCGTCATTCTCATGGGCATAGAAGATCTTCTTCATCCCCTAGAAAAAAAGATTCTGTCCCCCTTTCATCAAAACAGCACAGAGGGCCTTCTCCACAAATCCTAGAGAAGTCAAAACATGCAAGTGTTTTGTGTAGTGCTCCAGACCCCATTATTGGGCAATTTGTAGAGAGTAACACATCACCATCTACCCCAGTTAATATTAAAAATGACCCTGATGAACATCTGCTAAAATGTAATATTGTTGAGTGCTCTGATAAAGATCTTTCTCCCTGTTCACAAAAACGTCTTGACAGTGTGAAGCTTGAGATTTCAGAACCACCAGAATCCCATGAGCTTCAAAAAAATTCAGTCAGTGACCATGATGGTGGTGATGGGTCTTTTAAACAATTGGATAAACCCTCTCAGGAAACATTTCTTAACAACAAAATTGAAAGCACAGTTCCTCTAAGGGAAATTGATCCGCCCATTCGAGATTCCCCTCAGAGCCCCGATCCAGAGCCACCATTCATAAAACCTATCAACAGAGAAAAGATTGACCCTGTTAACACAGAGGAGATTAGAGATCCTAAGACACATCCCAATGTCTCAGTGCCATTTGTTAAAATTGAAAATAATTGTTTGTCTATCGGTGAACAAGAAACAGTGTCCAATATACCATGGGCTACTGTTGGAAGTCTATTACCAGATGTTAGAAAATCGGATTTTATATCCCTAAATCAACAGGGCCCAGTTTTCAGAGACCAAGGCGTGATAGAGGCAGACAAACAGAGAAAAGGGGAAAGTTCAGTCTTAAAGCATCCAGAAATGATGGGTGAAGGGGGCAGACATCCAAAGTCAGCTGCAGGCTTGGATGTTCAGGGTTCAGAACCTGAAATAGACCCTGTGACCAAGCTTCCAGGGCCTATTATGAGTGGTACAGGTATTAGGAATCCAGGACCAGATATGAAAGAGCCTGGATTTAGGGGACCACAGATAGACCAAAGACCAGCAGGTTTTAGTTTCCCAGGACCAGAAATGAGAAATTCAGGCATACAAGGTATGAGCCCCAATATTTGGGGTCCTAGACCACACATACAAAGCTCAGGGACTGGTATGCACTGTTCAGAGCCAAACATGAGAGACCCAGGTATTCAGAATCTCAAGACTGGTAGAATTGGTGTAGAGCCAGTCATAAGAGGTTCAGGGATGAGGAATCCACTAGAACATATGGAAAGTTCTAGTATGCAAGGCATGCACCTAGAAGTTCAGGGTCCAGTCCTTGATATGAGAAACAATGAACCAGACATTGGAGGGCAAAAGTTAATATCTGTTACAAACTTTCATATGGGGGAATCATGCCTACAGAGTGAGATGAGAGATCCAGTCATGAAGGCCCCTTTGTTAGATAGATCTGGGCTTGATATCAGTGGCTCAGGGCCAAGGGGTCCTTTATTAACCATGTATCATTCAAATCCAGATATCAGTGGGCTGACTGTAGTTGATGAGAGAAAAAGTCAAGAAGATAAAGATCATTGGAAAAGGGGTTTTCAGCCACATGGAAGAAATTCAAACTTTAGCGAAGTGGGTACTGGTCGGGAAAGGAGTTTAGAGTCAAATGCACCCACAGGTTTGGAAGCTAGGCCACTATCTTCAGTAACAACAGATGAAGGGCAAGACCCACAAAGAGGGGTACCCATAAGAGGACCAAGGCCAAACACAAATTATGAAAGTGGTAAATTTAACAGGCCCTGCATTGAACAAGAGATTGGTGGGTCTAGAGAACATTTCAGGCAGCCACAAACAGATACTGGGGCTGAAAGGAGTGTGCAGGGCCCTGGCATGAGAGGATCAGAAACTATGCATGAATTAAGATGGCCAGATATGACAGGAAGAAGCTATATGGGGCTTGGTCAAGATATGGATAGTATGGATGACTCAAATACAAGGGGTGATAGAAGTGAGTTAAATACAAGGGCTTCAGGAAAAGACATTGGAGATACAGGTCTCTGTAGTGGGGATGCAAACATACGGGTAAGAACTACACCAGGTCCAGGGCTATTTAGAAGAAATGAGCAAATGGGTCAAGAAGACAGAGGGCCCATGCCAAACATTACAAATTTAGACTGGAGAAGTCCAGGTGTTGGTCATGATATGTGCGGTCAGAGAGGATCAGGTCCAGTCAGAGGAAAACCATTTATACAAAATGAATGGAGTGATAATCAGCCTGAAAGGAGAGGTCCAAATATAGAGAGCCAGGGACCTGACAGAGGTCCAGGGGGTTCAGATTTCCTGCCACTAGGACCTCAGAGGGGAGGACCTGATATGGATGTTCCAAAGTATGAATGGACAGGATCAGGAGGTCCAGTTTTCAAAAGACCAGAGAATGAACAGAGTGTTTCTATGGACAATTCAGGACCTGGAATGAGAGGACCAGGGGTTGAAAGGAGAGGGCAAGCTGTAGAGGGTCCTGTGACTAACAGGGTAGGACCTGGGGCCTCACCTTTCAGAGGGCCAGGACCTGACAGGAAAGGGCCAGTTATGGAAGGTCAAGGACCTGACATGAGAGTATCAGCAGGACCAGATTTCAGGGCGTCATGGCCTGAAAGGAGAGGTCTTGAAATGGTTGATCCAGGGCCTGACAGGAGAGAACGAGATGGTCCAGATTTCAGGGAACCAGGGCCCAAAAGCAGAGGAATATCTTTGGAGGGTCCTGGATCTGACAGGCGAGGACCTGGAGGTTCAGGTTTCAGAGGGTCCAGGCCTGACAGGAGAAATTTATCTATGGAGAGTCCTGGGAGTGACAGGAGAGGACCCGGAGGTCCAGACTTCTGGGGATCAGGGCCCGGAAGCAGAGACTTACCTATGGAAGGTCCTGGACACAACAGTAGAGGCTCCGGAGGTCAGGTATTTAGAGGACCAGCGCCTGAATTGAGACATCCTACTATGGGGGCTGTAGGCCCTGACAGAAGAGGACCAGGAGTTCATGATTTCAGTGGACCAGGGCCTGATAGAAGAGGTGGTCTGGGGCCCAACAGGAGAGAGTCTGGAGTTCCTGACTTTAGTGGGCCAGGATATGAAATGAGAGGTCCCTCTATGGGAAATCAAGAGTGTGACAAGAGAGGACCGGGAGGCCTAGAGTTCCGGGTACCAGGGCCAGACAGAAGAGGATCAGGGTGTTCAGACTTAAGAGGGCCTGGGGGTGAAAGGAGTGGTCCCTCTGTGGATGATCAAGGGCCTAGAAAGAGAGGACTAGGGGATCAAAATGCTAGTGGACTGTGTCCTGACAGAAGAGGGCCACATATGGGGGTTCCTGGGCCTGACTGTATAGGAATGGGGCCTGAACGAATTGCCCAAGATATGGAAGGACCAGGGCCTCACAATAGAGGACAGGGAGCACCACACTTCAGGGGTCCTGGTCCAGAAAGTAGATATCCAAATATTGAGGGCCCAGGGCCTGACAGAGAACCACTGCTAGAAACACCTTGCTCCTATGTGGAGGGTCTAGGGCCTAACAGGAGAGGGCCGGGAGGTCCAAACACAAGAAGACCAAATGGGCCAAATTTCATGGGACCTGGGCCAGAAAGAAGACTTCCAGATATGGAGGGCCCAGGGATTGAACAGAGGGGTCCACCCTTCAGAGGAATGGGGCCTGATCAAACTGTTATGGAAGTACAAGCGAAAGGTCCAACAGGTCCAGATTTTAGAGGACCAATCTGTGAAAGTAGAGATCCAGACACTGAGGGCCCCAGGCCTAGCAGACAAGAATCAAGAGGCACAAACTTCAGGGAACCTGGGCCTGAAAGGAGAGTTACAGATATGGAGGGCCCAGGACCTGATTGGAGGCGATCTGTTGGTCCAGACTTTAAAGGCCCAGGCATCAGACATAAAGGTCAAAATGCAGAAGATCTAAGAAATGACAAAAGAGGTGACTGGGGAGGGGCTGACTTTGGAGGATCAGAACCTTTCCAAGAAAGTCTAGATACTGAGTGCCCAAGACCCGATAGAACAGATAAAAACTTGAGGCGTCCATGGCCTATGAGGATTAACAGTAGAGGGCCACGGCCAGAAATGAACAATCAGGGAGACCGATGGAAAAGCTCAGACACAGAGGAACAGTGGTCAGATAGAAGTGGACCCAATATGGTGGCTGTAGGAAATGAAAGAGAATGTTCAGGAGATCACTGGAAGAGGCGTGGTAGCAGGGCTCCAAGGCCTAACCAAGAAGGTCCAGATGAGCAGGGCCAAGAACATAGTAGGCAAGGTCCTCATAGTGAATGGAGAGGCCCTGGAATTAGGGGGCCGGGTCCTATACAGGAAAGACCAAATATGCTTTTGCCAGCGCATATGAGGGGTCCAGGAGATCATTTGAAAGGTCTTAGGTGTAGGGGTCCAGGGCCTGTCCAGCATGAGCCTGATATGGTGTCCCCAGGACCTAGAAATGAATGGACAGAGCCTGACAGAGCTGGTGTTGGGCCCCACAGAAGGGGACCTGGGCCATTTTTTAGAGGGGAAAGAAATCCAGATAATAGAGGACAAGGCCATGATAGGAGAGGACTAGATATTAGAGGATCAAATAAGAGAGGGGGCCCAGATACGGGAAATGACTGGCAGCAGCCAGACTGTAGGGGAAATGTGAGAGGGCCAAACATGGAAGGACCTGGGACTCGTATGGCATGTCCAGACTTGATTAATTCATGCCCAAATGGGAGAGGATTTGAGATGGAAGGTCTTGATCGAAAAGGCCCAGGAGGTTCAGATTCAGGATGCCCAGGTCCAGGCATGATGGGCCCACATTTAGTGTCAAGAGGGTCAGAGCCAGCCATAAAGAATGGCTTGCAAGGATCAGATGTAAGGGGGCAAGGGCATGTCAACAGAGTGCCAGACATGAGGAACAGGGAACCAGGGCAGAGAGGGCAAACAATTAATAATGAAAGAAGGGGCCCTGAACTGACATACTCAGACAAATCTGCATCACCTAATCTCAGTAGTCCACATCAAGTTACCAGATTTAAATTCTCTGGTGATCCACATTCAGAACCATTCAATAAGCTTCCTGGTCCACCTCCGAACAGTGGAGGAAACTCATTTCCCGGTTTTGACAACCCACAAAATCGGCAAGCAGTAAAACCCCAGAGACATAGAGCTGCCTTACTTCCCACTCCAACAGAAGGTCTCATTCAATTCCCAAATCGTACGATGGGTCACTCTACTGACAGAGAGTGGAGAAGAGGTAGACCAGTGAGTCGAGGAAGAGGGTTGGTAAAAGGGCAAAGACAGCAGCAGGAGAAACGTCTTGCTGGTAAAATGAACATGCCTTTAGATGCAAGCACAGGGAGTGAAGAAAAAATGTAATAGGGCAATGTAACTGATAAACGGGAATTATGGTGCATTTGATACAGCATAACACAGAGCAAATGTATTTTTCCCAAGTGGTTGTCCACGTCTTATTGAGATATCAACATGAAGTTTCAACAGTCAAAGCCATGAAAGATCAGACATTGTATCTTGATATGGAAATACTCTGAGGTGTTTTCAGTTCATTATGTTGTGGTTTGTCTTGTATTCAAAGTAAATGCATTTATTTTTATTACTTGATTAGGACTAAATGCCTTGTAGCCTTAACTGAAATGCACACTGAATTGTAAATTCAAATCTATGTGCATTTCTAGTTGGAAATTGTGAGAAGTATTTCATACAGAAACTGTACAGTTTTTTTTCAACATAGCTATAGTGTCACTACAGTAGGCTTGATCTGTTCTGTTCTGTTGATAAAAGATGGCTTGTTTCATTGCTCTTATAGAATGGCAAGCAGTCCATAAATCAATATAACTTTTTAGATTTGTATTCTGATTATATTATTGAGTTATTATTTGGAGTAGGACTGTCAATACCTGTTATTTTACAAATTCCACATTAAATAAAGCACAGTGCCCACACCATTCTGTTTGTGGGAATAAATCAGACTCTGGTTTATAGTTTTTTCTTCTTCTTTTTTTGAGGTACAATTAAAAAGAGTTGAATGACACATTTCAGCAGTTACCAGAGAAACAGGCATCTCTTCAGAAGCAACATCTGTAATGGCTTAACTATAGCTTGACTGTCAGCTTGGTGCAGGGGAAGAACACTATAGTAATCATCAAAGACATAAAACTGGCTTTTAATGGTTTTCAGTTAATATACAGTATGTGATTAATATATTCAGCAATGGATTAGCCTTTAGAGGCCTTAAATTTTACCTATGTAAATATTCGGCAAGTAAAGGTGCTTAGGAAGAAAAATGCTAACTGATTCATATGTAAGTAGCATTTTACTGTTGTAGATTAAAGTGGTGCTTAGGTAGGTCTTGGTTTGACAGATGATAATTTACATTCTAAGATAATCATATGTTTTGTGTATAAATTGTTAATCTGCATATTAACTAAAGCTGTCTCATAAATGTATTCAAGTGAAAAAAAACAATATTTGCTAGTGAAATGCAGTGGAGTAGAACTCTAAATTTGGATAAAACATGAATACAAGTACAATATACTAATAAATGTACTTTGTTACATCCCATCACCAAATAAATCAGTTTGAATGAGAAGTGCTGTAGCACACAAAACTAAGTATGTTTACTTGCTCTGGTTTCAATCTGCTGCATGACTGTAAAGATCTTAACTGGTTTTGACACATGGCATAGTCCCCATTCCAGTGGGGATGCGATTTGGCATGTTTAGTGTTTAGTCTTTTCATTAGTACATTCATAAGGGGGAAAGATTTTTGCTGAAGGATGAGTTTGTCAGGGAGCATATTGTCCATAGCCCTCCACCTGCAGAGCTCTTGTCTTATATAAGGAGGGTGACAGTACTCAGTTCAACCTTAAAACTTGATTTTAAATTACAGTTTTACAATTTAATTTCATTGTCAGCTCGCCGCTGAATCCCTTGTCGGAAATGACAACCTGTTTGCTGATAAAACTGTCATACTTTATCTCAAACTTGTCTGCATTTGTGGGAATAGCTACTGTAGGACTTGTATAAAATGGCCTATTTGTCACTGTTGCAGATTAACTACTGCACACTGGCTAAGCCAACAGTAAAGTACTGTTTTCTGCCTCAGTCACTGACTGACGAGTTCTAAAAAAATTTATTTCTCAGTCTCGGAGGTTGCCGCTTGGTCTCAACCAGCAACAATCGTTATTGCAACAGTAAGATCAGTAAGATAATAGATGGGTTTTTAAGAAACTGTGAGAAGATTATGAGGGAAAATGTCTCATTGGTGGATCAGCTAAAAACTGACATCCGAAGCTTGACAAGAGGCCATAATAACATAATGTCTTAGATTGTAAAACCTACTATAAGATTATTATTTCTTTCTTAATGTGAAATCTTCATCTGTAAAGTAACAAGCAGTTGTCAGATAAATGCAGTAAAGTCAAAGTACAATATCTGCCTCTAAAATGTAGTCGAGCAAATGTAAAAAATTAACATAAAATAGAAATACTCCAAGTGCAAGTGCTAAGTGCAGTACTTGAGTAATTTTATAGAGTTACATTCCACTGCTGCAATAAACAAAGCCAGATCAATATCAACTGATGATTAAGAACAAATTATTAGACAGTAACATAAAAACGTGTATCTTTGGACAGTCAATTTGGATGTTTGGTTTTGTGCTCTTACAGCTCTTGCTGTCTGATCTGTGGATATAGTTCTCTATTGCCATTATTCTGCTTTTCTTAATATTTTATTGTTAGCGCCACCTCTCCCTTTATTGTGCATCATTCCTGTTGGCTAGTCAATGCAAAATGTGAACTGCATCAGAGTATTTAATAGGCATACAGTATATTTTTATAACTTATTATTAAACATACAATTTTTACTGCTTTAGCATTTTTATATACTTGTTGCTTGAGTGGATTTTATGCTTGAAAGTTTTGTCCAATCACTGAAATTCCCTGGCCCACTTTGTCTAACACTGTCAGTTTGGGTGAGATGGTAGCCTACTATAAAGCTAAATTTCTTACAGTTTGTTTAGCCTGTATTTTAAGACACTGACAAGCTTATTGTCTGAAAATATAATTTACGCTAAAAGGTGCTAAAGCCAGTATATTATTCCAAAAGGGTATTTTCCCAATTGACCTGAACGCACCTTTTACTGTATCTAAATGTTATGGTACAGAAAAGTGTAGCCTAGTGCAAATGAAAATACTTAGCCTAAATATATAACAACTGCTTAGTAACCACTGCCTTTCAAAGGTTTCAGATACTGACACGGGTTTGTACAAAATATAATACATTTTAATAACCCAAGGCTTCTGCTGTGAGAGCCAGAGCGCCTCGACGCTTCTTCCTTCCCGCGGCCAGGACCGGAGCAAGCTGTCGGCTACAAAGAAAGTTGAACACCTGAGCGAAAGGGCAATATTAAAAGCTGTCCAAGCCTGATTAGAGATAAGGTTAATACACGTTAATATTTATATCAGATGATTGCATTGTATTAGGTGGCGAGGTTTCACCTAGTTTTAAACGTGAGTATATGTCAACGTCTCTTCAGGTGTACTAGCTTAAAGTTCGTTGTTCGCTAACGTAAATTCACGAGCTAACTTATCGTTTACAATCACAGTTTGTCCACGACTGACATAATTGAGTTGTGGATTAATTGTTCAATGTCAGTGTTATCAGCGACAGCTTGTTTAGGCTGAACTGAGCAATGATAGTTTCATGGATATGTTTTTAATAACTTATCACTATGGTCCCGCTTCCAGGGGACACCAAGCTTGGTCGAAGTCGGTTAACATGATAAGGCCTGTTCTGGTAGAAATGTAAGTCAAGTAAAACATTTTTTTTAATCTCCACCTCTTCTCTAGAGTGAGGGATGTCATCCTTTTACTCAGCTTGTAAAACCTTCCGTGTGTCGTCTTCACCTTCATCCAGAGAATACACCTGTGACACTGTTGGGTTGATATTAAGCCAAGGTGGATGTTTGATGCATGAGCAGGGCCAGATGTTGGGGAGTGAGCATGATCTGTTGGAGATGACAGAGCTTGAATGCTCACACATTCAGCATCTTATCCAAGGACACACAGAGGCACAAGGTGGGACTCCAGATGCCAGATCTCACCCTGATTGGGTGCTGAGTAAACACGCCACTGGGTCTGCTGTGACTTCTCCTTTCATAGCCGCTCAAGCTATTGACCTGTCAACTTCGATCGATGAACACTGCCAGGTGATGCCAGGAGAGAAGACACCAGCTACATATGGAGAAGTCCCAGGTTTTGTTCTCGCCAGGATCCGAGATGAAGACAGTCCGAACGACCCACCTGCCGACAGCAGCACATTTTCACAGAAGCGATCCAGATCAGCAGCTAGAGTTTGCTTGGAGAAGAGGTTTAACACCATGTCAGCTGACATGCCAAGACAGCAAGATATGCACTCTGCAGTTCTCGGCAAGTAGGTGTCTCTAATATAGTGTATTGCACTTTATTGGTACATATAAATCCATAATGCTGAAGTACTCCTTTGTACAGAATCTGTGTTGTTGTTTCAGTTTTTTGACAATACTTCAGCAATCTGCTGAGGCTCAAGAGGCAGTCATACATCCTCAAATGCAGAGGTCGATGAAAGTGGACAAAACAAATACTTTAGCAGTTTCAAGCCCATATGCAAGGGATGTACTTAACCTAGTCTCTAACACCTGTGGTCAGGTATGATGAACAATATATTAACATTTATTTTCTTATCTATTAATTTAAGAATTCATTGTTTAATTATTTGTTTGTGTTTTAATTTCAGGTGATCGGCCATATTCCACACATCTGTGAGCCTAACATGCACCAAGATTTTATCATTCCCAAGAGTTTTTCATTTAATATTTGCCCAGAGACGGTTGTTAAAAAGGCTAACTATACAAGTAGCAGCAACCCAGCTGAAGAGCAGCAGTTGGTGACCACAGAAAGTAATAATCATTACCTTAAACTGTTTCAAAAAGTGTAGTTTCTTTTTGATTTTTACCATACGTCACTGTACATGCAAGTATAAAGTTGTGTCTAAGCGATAGGCTCATGTTTTTCATAGATGATGTGACACCACCTGCTGCCTCCAAGAAGCATAGTCACACCCACTGCTCCAAACCTTTGAAGGCTGCTAAGTCTGCCCCACGATCAGCTGGAGAAGCAGGGAGCAGCACCAGGAAAAGAGCTCGATCTTGTATGTCTCTGAGCCAGCGTAGGGACAGGCATAACAATAAGGAGAGGGAACGCAGGTGAGTAGTCATCTCTAGTAGCTGAAGGTGTCTCTGCAGCCTCCATTTGTCACATGATGTCATAAAATACTAAATATTTTAAGTATAAATTACTCCCTTACTTTTTCCTAGGTTGGAGTGCCGTGAGCACAGGTCAAGGGTGCAACAGGATTTACTTCCCTTTTTGCTGCACATTTTTAACAAGTTTTACATACATACAAACTGAGGCAACTATTGCATTAGCTGTATTTTCATATTATGTTTTCTAAAGGGACCATCTCAAAAACATCCAAATGAGCATATTAAAGGTGCAGTTGTCTCCCAGCCGAGACTCGGGACAACACCTCGGAGATGCCAGCTGTCATAGTAACACAATAGACTTTACAACTTGTAGTTTTTACAGGTCCACAGCTGCCAGAAATAAAGAATGACAGAACAGCTATAGAAATATTTCTTTATTTAAACAGTAGAAAAATCTAAAAACCTAAGTTGCTGTGCTTTCAAAAGGTTTGGGAACCACTGGTTTAGTTTATATTGTAGTAAATTGAGATCATAATAGTAATAGATTTTCGCCATTTCTCACAGGTGTAGTGTTGCATTGTTATTCGCATATCCATCAAAGGCAAAGGGATCTCTTTTACAAAAATTAGAGTACATCCATTTTAATTATCTTTAATGAAATTTATTGTTTAAGGTATTTTTTAAGCAAAGGTACTAAACATTTCCTACTTCTAGGTTCTCATGTGTGGATTATTTCAGTTTTTTCCTATGTTATAGTAAATTGATTATTGATGAGGGTGCTGGAGTGTTGATAGGACAAAACAAACAGTTTGAAAATATTAGCTTGGACTTAATGTGCTGTAACTCAGACGTAGCACAAATCTTGTTGACTGACCTCTAAACGTTGGAGCTCTCTGCTTAGAGACCAACTTAATCCCCCACCGCTGTTTATTTAAATTTCAAAATCCCCATCTGTACCTAGAATTGATAACGTTTTGGGCTAATCTGGAGTTGATTAATATGCAGGCTTTGTTAGATATGGTAATTAAAAAAGAAATTAAACAGGGTTGGATAGATACCTGTGACTAGACAAATCATCATTTAGTCATTTGAAAGACAAGACAACTATTTTAATAATTGTTTAAGTAAAAAAAAAATTAAGCAAAAATCCCAAACATTTGGTTAATCAAAGTTCTCTGAAGTGAGCGTTCCCCACTTTTTTGTTTGCATTTCAGTCAGATAAACATTACTGCAATTTTTCGGACCAGTTATAAGCTGTAGGGACGTGAGAGTTCAGGGTGTGAGAACACAGGAGACACTGAACTGTCTGTATTGTCTGTGCTACTGCGCAGGAAGCGGATTCGTTCGTGCTGTGATGAGCTGAACATGCTGGTGCCTTTCTGTGACTCAGATACAGACAAAGTCACTACCCTGTACTGGACCACTGCCTTCCTCAGATACATCAGTAAAACGTATGGAGACACCTTCAAAGAGGTACAGCTGTCTGGTTTCATCTTGCAGTTAAACCTTTATTAATGTAAAACGTCTTGGGTTGATCATCCTGAACTGAACTGAAGAAACCTGGGGCTGGAAGATGAGAGCTTAATTGCAATTCCTCTTAGTGTACTAGTACTGTAGCTGACTTTGTATGACTTGTTATTTAGAAAGTTCACTTGAATGTTTTCTTAGCTGTGCAGTGTAAAATCAAATAAACGATCATTTTATTGTGATAGATATCTAGTGTTGCAGTTAACGCAGTCTGTGGTTTACATATTGAAAAACTCCTGGTGCAAAGGACAGGAAGTCTAGATAGACACTACCTAAAGATAAAACATTAGTGGTACTTGTGGTCTTTAACCACAATAATCTGATATTCTTCACCTTCACAGGAGTTTCAGAAGTCCTTCTGTGATGAGAAAGGACTCTTTCTTAAATCCAGTGGCTTTTCAGGAGAGGACCCAAACCACCAAGAGATGGGTGAGACACAGAGCATTTCTCTTGCTGTTGAACAATGACCCCCCCCCCAATAAATCAGCCAGATATTTGAGTGAATTTAGCTGGAGTTGTCCCAGGAGGTCTGGCTTATGCAGCTATTTTGATATATTGTTACATTTTAAAAGAAAAAAGTTCCTTTTTGAGAGGTGCTCTGCTTCTGCCTACATTACTATGGTTTAGAAAATGTAAGATTTTCAGTCCCAGACCATGTGACACTCAAACATGGCAGGCTTTCTCCAAGACTACACTGTATCAGAGCCGAAGCAGGCTTTTCATAGTCACCTACAGATGGCACTGGTTCTCTATGGAAAAACAGACACAATAGTGATCTGTGTCGATTTCAGCTATGATAGATTCGGCTAATTTAAATTATATCGCCATCATTCTTTTAAAGACTTGATTCAAATTGTGTTACACTTTGTTCAAACAGTATGTTGTTCGGTTTTCATGTCCACATACTGGTATTCTTTAATCACATATTTAAATATTTAGCATGAAAACTGTGTTATTGCTTTGTCAGTTAAAGGGATTACTTGACTTTTATATTGTTAAACATATTACTCTGAAGTACAGACGGTTCATGTTGTATGTAGAGAAAAGTAAACTTTTACTGAAAAGTGGCTTTATTTGTTCGTTCTTACAACATGTTGCTGTAGCATCTTACTGTACAGTCACCCACAAATAATAAATAGTATTTAAAGGCATGTGTATTTAATAGTTACAGCACCGATAGTAGGCCTACGTAGTGGAGGTGGTTGTTGCAGACTGAAAAAAAGACAAATATTTTTATTTTGCTCCAAAGATTCTTAAACTTATTTTACAATGTCTGATTTATGCATCCACAAGTTTTATTTTGTTTTTGATTCTCAGATCTAGAGAATCATTATCACATGTAATTAAAAAAGCAAAATGAAAAACAAGCTGTCGAAAAGATAAAAGTTTTACATTTGTGCATTCATCTACACAATTTCTGGGCACCTGGGAATTTGTTTTTTAATTCCTTTTACAGTACATATGCAGCTCCTTCACAGAGGCCTTTCACCTCTGGCACCTGTTTTTATATTTTACACAGTTGTATGTTGAGGTAACACCTGTGATTTTACACTAATGGGCTGTGATACATGCACATTCACTTCAGTCAGTCACTATTGTTTTCTAGTGTCATCTGCCAGAAGGATGTTAACCAATGTACCGGGGTCATGGAAACAACATGTACAAAGTTTTTATACACAAAGGGCTCATCATTCACTGAGCAGTTGTTTGTAAGTCAAGTCTTGTTATGTGATAGTGTGTGGAACAATGCAGTTACTCTCCTGCACCCTTCTGTGCATCTGTGCACTCTACTTCTGGATGTCATCTTGATGTTGTTGTCAGTCAGGTTGCTCTGGTTATTCACATCACTCCTTGGATGTTTCTCTGTTCCTCTCAGAATATCACACCAGTTGTTGTTTCTCTTCTTATCTTGTGATACATGTATTTAAATAAAGAGGACATTTTTTGTGATCACTCTCTTTTTTCATTCCTTCCTTCCCTCGCTTATCACCCTTCCTCTCTGGGGTGGATGGTGTCAGGTTGCACAAAGTCATGTTTAATTGTTTTTGGGGTTGGAGGATTTCCCTGCGATTGATGCGCCCTGACAAGCTGATGTATCACAGAGTCCAGGAGGTCCCTGGTGTCCAGTCCTACCTACCCTGCCTGGCTCTCCAGGCTCACCTGGGTCTCCTGGAGATCCATCGTGCCCATCTTTGACTATGCCAGGTACTCCAGGAGGACCTAGGGACAGAATACAGGACATGAGCCAAAGACTGGCCAAGACTTGCATTTAAAGACTGGGAAATATTTATTCACTGAAGTTGCACAGGTGATTCAAATATTAAAATATTGTGGGACAGTCAGAAAACCTGTCATGATAGTTTAATGTTAATGTTTGATATTAATAGCCAGGATCTGACACACCTAAATGGAATACAGCCATTATGAATCTAATTAGTTATGTTTCTGACAGGTCCAAATGTCTGCCTTTAAAGTAAGACCTTTACTATATGTACAGTATAGTGTTGTATATGACCCCATACCTTGGTATCCTGGGTCTCCAGGGGGCCCATCAATGGCCCTACCAATGGATCCCTTATCGCCTGGCTCACCAGCATCACCTGTGGCAAAAACTGAATCAGTGGTGGAAAATAACTGGCTCACCAACACCAGTACTGTAATTAAGCATTTGTACTTTACCTGATTTTTTTACATTTCATACTACTTTATACCTCTCCTCCACTACATTTCAGAGGCAAATATTGCCTTTCTCTGCTGCAGTCTATATTTTTGTCCTCCCCAGCTACATACATGAGAGGGTAAGAATATTAAGAACACCTCTGAACATAATGTAGTCTAGTACAACGCTACCGTTACCTCAATAGGAAATATATAATGGAATTTATACACTTATGACAATTTTACCAAAAACTGAGATGTTAAGGCAGAAGTGTTGCATTGAAGTGCATACATTTGTACAGGTGGTCATTGAGTGTATATAAAATATTTAAAATGTACAGTTTAGGCATTGTATTTCCAATCTTACTGTGTAATATGTAATAATATATCAGTCACAGAGGTAATTTTTCTGCAGAGTAGGTACTTACTTATGATAATTAACTACATGTTGATGATAATACTGTACCTTTACTCAAATAGGAATTTTGAATACTTCTACTTGTAGCAAAAGACTTTAAGTTACTTTTGCTTAAGGAACTGAATAATTACATTATGTTGTAGTATAAATTAACAGGTACTGATTGGTAGATTTTAGCATTTTTTCTTATAGATAAAAGAGTAGGTCTTTCATTTTTCATATGGTACCTCTGGGACCAGGATCTCCAAGTTCTCCTGGTAGGCCTCTGTACCCTGGTGGTCCACGGGCACCTGGATGCCCAATAGAGCCAGAAACTCCTGGCTGTCCTGGAGGCCCAGGAACACCTGGGCGGCCCACCATTCCAGGAGACAGGGGTCTTCGAAGGTTAGCAGCCAGCTGTGCAATCTGATCTGTGACAGGTAACACTACAAGGTCAGTTTCCAGCTTAATTTGTATTCAACAATAGAATTAATTTCAGACAAAGATTAGGTTCTCACCATCGATCATTGAACCACACAGTTCTCTGATGTGCTGCTCACTTGCCAGTCTACCCTGAAACACAAGTAAACAATGCAGTTTCTTACCTCATTCAGGCAGTTTATTAGAAAACATTAACTTTAATATGCTTATATGAAAGCTTTCTAGTTTTGTACAGATAAAAAAAAAACAACTCACGGGTACGCCTGTCTTTCCAACGATTCCTGGCAGACCCTGTTCCCCCTGGAAGCCTATTGATCCTTGTTTTCCTGGAGGCCCTCTTGCCCCGGGTTCTCCTTGTGGACCTGTCATGCCCTTAGGGCCCAGTTCTCCACGCTTCCCTGGCTATAATCAACCAAAATTATCTGTTGAATAACTTGTTATATTTTGAGAAAAAAAATGAAGGCATCAATTTCTTGCAAAAGTGGAGCTAAAACATCCATAAGCATCTGATTTGGTCGTTGACTAAACACCAACTAAGGAGCAGACTGGGTCTGTTGACAAATGTGGAGGCGGATTCATATGGCGTCTTCTTGCTTGATAATTACTCCTACGAGCACAGCAAACAGTAAACCAGACTAAGAGAGTGAGGCTCATCAGTACTGTGTTTCTAATTACATAAATTGTGCTGCAGCTTAATGCGACTCCTTCTCTCCCTTGTGGGGAGAGAAGCCAATAAAGCAGCAATTCCTAATTAACCCTATTAAACCTGGACTGTGAGGCTGAATCACATGCAGTGACTCTTGACAAGTGGGCAACAGCTCAGAGACACGCCGCAGTTTTTAATATTCAGTGACTGAGTAGACACAGAGGGAGTTTGAAACAAATGTGTGCTGTTAATCACACCCACACAGAACATTTGAGAAAACTAGGTTTTATGTTAACAGAAGGGTTGCAAGCGAGAGCAGACGTCTTTACTGCTCCTCTTGTCTGTTCTACGATTTTTCACATCTTCTACATTTTCAAGTCTTTGAACAAATTCTACAACTATTAAAATGCCTCCAAGAGAGAAAAGAGCTAATAAATCAGAAGCGAACGAGGATGTTGAAGCAGAAGAGGATTATATTTCAGCGGCGCAAGTAACAGAGATGTTGAGTCAGCAGAAGCAGATGTACACCGCACTGTTGAGCCAACAAGACAACTTCAAAGGTTTTGTGCAACTACTTATGGAGACAAATAACAAGAGACTCGACGACATAACCAGAGAAATACAGGAGATAAAAACGAGTTTGCAGTTTACCCAGCGAGATGTGGATGTGATTAAAGCAGCCATGGGTGAACAGAAAATAACAAACCAAGGAAACAAAGATGATGTCTACAAAACTTGTGAGAGTCTAATAGCCATAACGAATAAAATGGAG